TTTGCAATCTCAGTATGGGGAGAAAGGGCTCTAACCGGCGACAGCCGCAGAGGCGATGAACAGAGCCAAAAACACGGAGAGAATGCGAGCCATTAGAAAAAAGGATTAAGGTGGGAGTATTTGAAGAGTTGTAAAAGTTTAGAATGAAAGGAAGACAAGACACCAGGTCGAAGCAGATGAAAGGGAATGAGAAATCGATACGTTTCCCCTTGCTTTTATATTCCTGCGACCTGCTGACATTGGACAATTCCAGGAAGAACTGATGGAGGAGTGATGGATGATCCGCCAGTCGTTTCTATAGGGATGAGCGTGAGCAGCTGGCACTGACGCGACATCGCCCCACAACATAGCAATGCTGCACCCTAAAATAAATCTCCGAGAACCCCAAATTTGACAGTTATACTTCGGTGAAAAGTTATGGAGAAATCCCAGTGTTATAATACTGAGGTTTGTAGAGAAGAAATAATTCCAACACTAATTCGCCCTGCGATTGCGCCGAAGTCCGAAAGTGGAACTTCTCCGTAAGCGGTTGTCATCGTAATCTTGAGCGAAGTGGCGATGTGATCACGATCGGCTGTTACCAAGTGTTAGGGCTACTTGTGGAACATGCGGTCCGTTGACTCCCGTCGAAAGAAGCATGAGCTATACAACTCAATTTACTTCCCTTGCTCGATTACTTGGCAGTGCAACGGGCGGGCAACCCGACGATCCTGCGCGCTCGTTGATAGGTTTGAAGCTTCGACCTAGCTTCCACCATGAGGATCGACATCCAGGAACGACATGGTTTATTGTTAAAATTCTAATACACCCGTCTCTACGGTGTCGAACGGAAACCCATGAGGAACGCCATACTCTGGAAAGCAGCCTATTTATTTTACAAACAGGTCAGTATCCGGATGCGACGTGATTTAAATTGGCTCACAAGGGGCGAAAATTGGGGTACCCTAGGAAAAGGACGGTTAGCAACGAAAGATAGATGATCACAGCGTCGACGTACATGTGTCCGCTCAGCTCCACTTCCAGGAATGTCAGTCCTCGTTCAGTGTGTGCTGTCCCAAGCGAGCCGACGCCATCAACGAGGAAACTGTCGTTCCCGATGGGTGTTTGGAACCCTTGTTGGCCATTCCCTGCGGTTCAATTTAATTAGCATGTGAAGCTTGACCAGCCGCACGATTAGAACAGTTGAACTGACACGTCATGCTAATAAATGTATTGGGTCAGTGAGGAGATCGACAGGTTCTATTGTTGAACTTACTTTTGAATCACGATCCGCGCCCTATGTGGAAAGTTTGCGGTGAGTTTACATCAATGTTGAAAAAATGGAAACCAACCCTTCAGCGATGAGAATGAAGTCTGCGAGACCGTGGACGATGACGGTTCGCACGCTCTTCTCGATTACATTGGGAAGAACGGATAAGGCCGACGGGGGGCTAGCGTCACCTCGGGGAAATACATTGACGTTCGAGCACTCTGTCCAGTCGACATTAGTTGGCGCATGGATTGCCTGCTTGACATCTTCGCGATCAAAGTACAACGGCGCCAGTTGAACGTCCTGAATATAATTAGAACTTCAGCCTAAAAAGGAGAGAATGAAACCTTACCTCGAATGATCCCGGGAAACCAAGAACGTCCCACAGAACGGGGAAGGTGTCGAATATGCGGTAGATATTGAAAGCAGGGTTCTGTGGAAAATTAGCAGAAGAAACAAGTTGAATAAGAGAGCGGTGAACTTTGAATAACGCAGCATCAAAAACCATATCCCAAACATCACAACCGCGATCGGCCGATGTCGACCGTCCAGGGAGCGGCAGAGGCCCTGCTGGAGGATATGTCGCAAATTTATTGACATAGCCCGCGTAGTTGCACTGTGCGGCAACGGCATCCAAGTGAGCCATGAACGATTGGTTGAAAGCGAACACATTTTCGTATTTATGCACAAAATCAACCACTGGGATCTGTGCTTGAACAACGTCCCATCCCAAAACCGCTGTGTTGAAATTAGCAAGTGGAATCCGTTGAACTTGATGAACCACACACGGTCCGCTATCCAGATGCCTTGCAGGCTCAGGGGAAGGTCCGTAGGATGTTCGTAGATGTAGTTGGCGATGTAGGGAACGTATTGGCCGGCGTACTGGGCACGATCATCTTCTTTAGTCCCTTTGAAGACGGCGGCAGTGTAATGGACCCACACTCTCCCCACTGAGGTACAATTTCTTGTTCTTCAATTCTGAGAAAACCTCCAAAAATTGTTGGAAGAACCCGACGAGCTGGGCGGCCAGGTCGTCCTCGTTCTGTGAAATTTTAATTTCAAACGTTTTACGCACTATACCTATATCACTCACCCTGATATTGGGGGTGCCTTGACTAAATCCGGTGCCAACTGGTTGTTCAACCCATAGCATACTTGACAGGTTTGTCCAGCTGTTGACGTTCGGAATGGGCTTAGCAGTACCGACACCCCATTGGAAGGGCTGAAGCCAGGCCCATATTACATTAAATCAAAGTTCGGCGAAGAATACGGCAAAAACGCACCCCATTTTCTTGCAAGAAGCCTTCCAAGCTACTGCAACCTGGGCCGCCGTTCGTCCTACGAGTCAATTAGCAAACGACCCGAGAAGAAAGCGGCGTGAAGACGTGCCAGAATATAAGATCATCGAGACTTCCCTCCGGTCCGGGTGGGAAGAACCAAAAGAAAAGCTATCTGGGGTCAAGGAACCAGCGACGGATATTTTTAGCGCAGACCCACCTTGCGTGTCTCGTTGGCATTCGCGCTTATTGGCATGAGGCCCGACCAACTAGGCCCGACATCAAAGTCGACTTCGGGGATCGACTTGCCATCCACAAAAAATTCTACAGGTCGAAAGATGAATGCAGGAGACCTCGGGCGAACTTTTGCAAACACACCTGAAGCCTTGGGATTTGAGAAAGTGATGTTATTGCTTTTGGGCACCGCACGAGGTGCAGGGCGTTCGAAGCGCTTTGCAGCCTCCACCTGCCTCGCGTGCAGCTCCCCCTTGGTCATCATTTTTCGCGCATCCGCGCCAACAAGCGATCCGAGCACAGAGAGGGCAAGGAGCAGTCCCGAGAGCATTTTGCGGCGATACACGGAGAAGAGCCCCGGTTATTCGACTCGTCTGGCCTCTTATACATACTCGGGCGGGCATAAGTATTTATGTTATCGCAGGGCCGCAGAAGCATGTGTAGCACAGGATAATCTTTCCCCGAGCTACAGCAAGCATATGATCCTGCGGCCTTTTGGTGAGAGAAAACCTCCAGCTGCGATTCGGCGACGCGTGCGCATGCTACTTGTTATACTCCGCGTGGGCGCCAAGTTCTCAGTTCCGATTCCGCGCAACAATCCGAGGACTGCCAGTGGGATAGTGAGCAGAAGATGGTTGCTGTGATGACCAAATAGAAAATTAGACGTTGGTGGCCGAGTCCATAGGAGCGCGTGTAATGATGATACGCGCGAAAAACTATAATTAGCCTTCTCTAGCATCTGAAAGCATTATAGTAAGTGTGCTGCGTGTATGGAAGTCTAAAGTTGTATATTCTAAATCTACGACGCCGGAACGGTCGGGAAGACGCATTTTCGCGCAAAATAGTCGTGGAAGCGATCGTCTTGCGTTAGTTCAGGATGAAATGTCGTGAGCAGGTGTAAGCCCTGGCGGAGGGCTACGACCGTGCGGGGATCATTTTCATCCTCAGCGGGCACAGGTAGTAAGTGAGGGGGTAACCGCGCGATCACCTGTATTGGTGCGTCCGCGGCAAGAGCGAGCACGACCTGCAGCGGCGATCAGTGAACAGACGGTGGGCAATACGAAGATGCGACTTACCGGGGCACGGATAAAAATGCCAGTGAATGGGACGGAGGGATCGCGAAGCCCGTTAACGTCCAAGGCGGCCTCGAAGGACTCCACCTAATTAATCTGCAGTCAGCGACTTCGATCGCACATTGGATTGAGATTAGGGACGAACCTGCGATCCCCACCCATTCCGTGCGATGTCAACCGACACACCACCAAGAAGATCCTGCCCATCTTTTTTTGCGCCCGTGACGGACTGCGAGAGCAGGATGGCACCAGCGCAGGTGCCCCACACCGGTTTTGTGTTTATAAAATCTTTGAGTGGCTCCAGAAGGCCAGAGAGCCGCGCAAGTAGCGCGATTGTCGTCGATTCTGTGTCCCCGCAGACAATTGCATCGGCCAGCAACACATGAGGGGTTCAGGTCACACACCCCCGCCTGGTATAATCAGTGCGTCGCACTGTTGGAGGTCCTCTGGTGTTTTGACTAGCACAGTGGCGATCTTGCGCTTCAGATGCAGATTCTTCAGCCTCATTTGGTGCTCGGCGAAAGCACCCTGCAGTGCTGTATTGGAGAAATGTGGATTCCAGGTCTGGATGAGTCACTCTTGACGTTGGGTTACTGCTTGCCTAGGATTCCTATGGTCACAGAAGACATTTCACTGCGGGAAGCAGTATCTGGAACTTTGGGGATAGCCAGATTGTAAGGGATTCGAGGCTGAGTGTCGACGTAGAGTTTCCAAGAGAACTGGAAGTCGGGGCCTGAAAAAAAAGACAATCACAAATAAAAACGCGAGCACGTGACGGGCGCGTCGATGCAATGTGCCATTGCTAAACTGAGCTAATAACCGCCAACTACATATCATCCTCCGGGTTGCACAATATGTACCAACTGGCCTGGTTGCCACCCTGTTCTGCACCGGTGCTCACTCGCAATCAGTGCGATGCATATGCCGGTTGTCCGACTCGGAACATGTTTCATCTGGAATGCTTGGTGGCTATCATAATGCCTCTGGAAGAAAAGAGCATATTTCACCAGAGACTGGATGTGCATGGAGTTCAATGCTTCGGAACGAAAGAAAGAAAAAACACAACGCCTGAAAGCAAACGAAACCCAGCATCGCTCCGTAGAGATAAGCCCCCCTGAAGTTTCACGCGAGCGCGGAGCATTTCTGCTCAAGGGCCCGGCTCTAGATTGCCCCTCCCCGGATTCGAACCGCAGATCCCCCGCTGTGAGAAACTCACGCATTGCGGGCGTTCTAACCATTGAACTAAGGTGGCAACGAACAGCTTACCACGGATGGCTTGAAAGTGGAGAATTTCCAGCTTAGCTGCGTGAAAGGACAGAGTCGGGCAATAGTGATTGAGGCGTCCAACCCTTTCCTTGTCTTCTTTCTACAAATGTCGATTCGAATCGACAATAACTCTCGTCGTTGAATTCCGCCAGATCGCAGTTTATACCTGCCCTAACAGGTGGTAATAACCGCAAGGAGAGGGAGGGACTCCGAGGGAGAGAGAGAGAAAATAAATGGAGTCTCATTTTCTCGGTATTCCTGCAGCTGTGGATGGGCAGCCATGCATGGACTGCAATTCCCGCCACGGAGCCAAAACTTCGGCATCAGTGCTGACAAACCACCTCCGTGAGGACTTAGGAGACGCGTCACTGCCGTAATGGCGCTACTGGGAATCGGCAGCAGTCACATGATCGTTCCTCCCTGAAGCTTCAAAGCTTTTGCTTCTGACTGCTGCGTTGCTCGACCTATTCCTCCTCGCTCAATGCCAAAATTCACCAAACCAATCATTTCTTACATCCGTTCCCCCGCCTACTCTCCATCTCCTCCCCCTCCACTCCGCCCAGCATACTATGCGGCACTAAGAGAAGAGGAAGCGAATACGACGACGACGACCGCTAATGTACATGGCGCGTTTGCGACCATGGGGCTTGAGGTTGTGGAGTACACGATTTTTAAGATCGTGGTGGCGCGAGGTTTTCTTCAACTTTACGCGGCGGGCGTGCTCAAGGTGCGCATCAAGTTTTGCTCAGTGCGTTGAGACTAAATTGGCATTATGTACAGGCCGTCAAAGACGATGTAATATCAAACGAAATTTTTCGAGAAGTACTCTTCAAAATCGACCCAACGACTCTCGAGGGCGTCGGTAAAAATGTCCGACATCCGTTTCTCAGTTACGTCGGCGCCGAATGGGAGCAGGCGGGCGGCGATGTTGAGCACTCAGCAAGCTGGTTGACTCCACTTCTTGACTCCCTCGTTGTCTTGGCTGCAGAGTGTTTCGGAAAGAGGTGCGCACTCTGCTCACCAACTCGATTTGCGTCTCATCGTATGTACCTCACACGTAGTTCTGTAAATATAACCACGACACGGGCAGCAGCCAAGGTGCACGAGTCGAGGGCCCGTGATGGATCTTGTACGCTTTCCCTTTGTCGGTAGCTCGATCCTAACAACCGGTACAGACCTCGTTTTCTTGACCAACTTTGAGAAGTTTCAATCCAAACCAAAGGTCTTAAACCTGGCTTCCCCGCCCCATCAGCCCACAGTACGATCTTTGGATTTCCATTTTTACCCGCACCTCATGTGATCGCTCAGATACCAGCATTTTCGTCGTGGAAACTTAGTCCCTTGAACTCCGATGTCCTGCAACATCCAGGAACCTATCCTCGCCTGGTATGTCTATTGCCATCTCACGTCGTTCACAGCTAACTTCTAGATCAGAACGAACATGTTCTACGTCCAGTATGCGGTCCTTCTTCTTCCCTTTTATCTGTTAAACACTCAATCCAGCATGGCCTGTGGCCTCCGTCTCTTCCCGGGCCTTCCGGAATTGACGACGAGTTGGGTTTCGTAAGCCTGAACTTATCCATTCTATAGCGCACAGATCTAAGCACCTGAATCAGCAAAACCCCTTCTTCAACACAGGATATCTCGCCCTCGAACCTGCATTCGAGGTAGCTTTTCCTCTTCCATGGACGTATACTTTGCTAACGGCAATGCAGTATACTCCAGGCTACGTACGTGAACACTCGCGCCTCCTCCTGCGAATTTCCCATTTTTATCTTCAGATAAACCGCGTCAATGGCGGGCCTCTGAACCTGAGTGCTCCGACACCATTTGCGGAGAGCTTTGAGGGCGAGACCGTGCCGGCTAGTCCCTCTGACACCGGCGGGCCAAGCAAAGAGGCGAGTGTCGTTTAACAAAAGCCTCGCACTGTTTTTAACGGCGTTTTACAGTTGAGAAAGTTGCTTGAGGTAACCTTCCTTCTGTTCGAACGGTCTTCTCGGCTGATCTCATTACAGACACCCCCGCCCACCGAACCACGCCGCCCCCTTACGCCGTACAATTGAAGGGCGGCTATATATATTGTGTATCTATTTCGCTGTTGTATTTTCGAGTCTGTACGTAAAGCATTATTATAGATTGGCAGTAGACGGCGTGTAAAAGTAAACTTTGTAGTTTTTTTTTGTATACAGAAAACCGGGAGATTGTATCGATCAGGACTTGTGGACCGTCAATGGAGCTGGCGCCAAAACTGTACCATCTGCAATGCCACGGGTTCTGCGTTTGCTAAGGTTTCAGTATGCACATATGCCGCTGGAAATCTTGTTCGTATTGTTCAACAGGTCAATTAATGTGGTTGGAAAATACCCTAAAACTCGTTCCTCCGTGGCATCAATGCGCGTCGGCTACGAAGGAACGTTGGCGCTTGTGCGCGAACGAGACATGCACGCACCAAGTACGCACCAACCATAAAATAGAATATTGATTGGACAGCGCGAAAATCTGGGAATTGGATTGGAATTTTGTCGCGACGTTCCGCCTAATGGGTTGAGAATGTTGTACATGTTTGCCAATGGTTCAATCTCGAAAGATGCGAGGCCTCGTCATTATTTGAAGCCCGACCAAAGGACCAAAGCAGCAGCTACAGACTCATTATTACACGAAGATTAAATTGCCTCTAAATATTGCCTCTAAACGAAAATTACTTCATTAAACGTCGTGCAGTTTTTTCATTACCCCATAGCCATTTCCAGCTTTTTGCCCTTCACGCTCTTCCACTCCATTGCCAACGAGCCAATGGTCGATATACCCGCCATGGCAATAGAGACGTAGTAAGCAGATACGAGGGCCTGGTTGTATACCGAGAGAACTGCAGGCAGGTATTGGCTGTCGACCGCAGATCGCAAGCTGGTCGCTCCGGCACTAAGGACAATAGCGGGGTTAATACCGGGAACCTGGCTGACCAGGCCAGAGACCAGTTTATTCGTAAACACGTTCTGTCCAACCGAGATGAACAGCGCGCCTCCTGTAAGGTCAAGTTAGCCGGATGCTGCGATACGAGAAACGAGGGGAACGGACCAAGGGTCTGCATGAAAATGACCAGCGAAGTTCCTGTGGGGATATCCTCCATGCTGAGGACTGTTTGGGCGGCGATGATGGGTTGTTGAATACCCAATCCAACGCCCAGGCCGTAGATGACCTGGTATCCAATCCAGTGGGCGTGGCCGGTGTTCACGGCAAACGTTGATACGAGACCAGCGCCGATAGAACACAAAATAGAACTTATAATCATGAAGGGCGCATAATAGCCCAACACAGTCACCGTTCCGCCTGCGAGGAGCGACCCAATGACATTCGCGAGGACCATAGGGAGATTGTCGATGCCTGATTTCACAGCAGATGTACCTTTGAGTACAATATGTGAGCAACGAGCCTGTTTACTCTGCCTAGGAGAGACTAACCTTTAATCGCCTGGAACCAAAGCGGAAGCTAGAATCAAGTTTGAGACGATGTAAAACGCTGCCGACACACGCAACTTACGAAGTATGTAAGAATGAACAACGATCCGCCAAGGGTCAGAGAATACCACGCGCCGGCCATGACGCTTCGTTGTTTCAAGATACGCGGAGGGACAGTGGCAAGGTCCTGCTTCCAGATTTGTATCCCAACGAAAGTCGAGATTAAGACGCCGAAGAGAACAAAGAGGGCAATGATACGGCCATCGCTCCAGGGATACTTGGATCCTCCCCATTGAAGAGCGAGTAGCAGACAAACGATTCCAGGAATGAAGACTATGGTGCCGAAAGGGTCGAATTGGTTTACGCGCTTGGCCCATCCCATGGATTGCGCCTTGCGCTTGGCACCCGGAACCTTGAAAAAGATCGTGATCACAAAGAGCGTAATAGCACCGATGGGGAGGTTGATGTAGAAACACCTATCCACCAGTTATATTATTTTATTCAAGCGATAAAAACGGAAACTCACCATCGCCACGTAACTTTGTCAGTGAAGGCACCGCCCATGAGGGGACCTCCGACACTAGCGATCCCATACATAGCTCCAATGAGCCCAGAGTAAATTGGACGCTTTTCCAAGGGGACGGTTTTGGCAGTTATGATGAGGGCGCCGGTAAAAATACCGGCGCTCCCGAGGCCCGCAATGGCGCGGCCAACAATCAACGCGTTCGAGTTTGGCGCGACACCGCAGATCTATGTAGATTTTGTTCAGCGAGCGGCCAGGTGCTTACGTTGTCGCGCATACCAAAGATCCGAGCTCGAATATACAGATGGCGGTGATGAAGACCTGATCGCATCGCGTAAGAAACTGGAGGGTGCTTCGGCCTAGCAGAAACGGCATACCCATTTAATGGAGAGGAAGGAATAAAACCGCCCAAAGAGCAGTTGAAATGCGGCCGTCGTGAGGAGATATCTATTGAAATCGTGAGGATCGGAATAAACGCAGGACTGGAGATACATACGCGCTGCCATACCTGAGGGTACCATGTAAGTACAAAAAAAATGGACGTTGAAAAACAACATACCAGCCAACGTCATCCAGGCTCTGGAACTGATCTGTAATTTTCGGCTGAAGGCCAGGTAAAAAAGAATACGAATAAATTTTACGATGAGACTCAGTGCAGTTAAAGACGAACAATAGCTGTTGCAATGATGGTATTATCCTGCGAAAGTTGTGTGAGCTGCTGCTAACTAGTTGAGGCTCTAATCTCACCAGGGCAACCACGAAAACGGCAAGACATAGAGCCAAAGTGATAAGCCCTAATTTTAGTCCGTGCGGATATTCGATGGGCTCTGTGACGGGTCCTTCTTTCTCCATCTCGTCTACAGAGGGCTTCTCGTCTTGCTTCGACTGCGACCGGGAGAGGTGGAGCGTCGGAGAGGCAGCTCGGGAAACATCCTGGGCGCTCATGGTCGTGGGGCGGACAACAAAGCCCGGAGGAAAGAAATCACTGGATTTATCGTCGCTGTGTGA